AAAACCCCGCTCGGGCGACCCCCGTGCAGCGTGGCTACACGGGGCACGAACTAGGTAGTTCGAATGAGGAGTAACGGTATGAGGAGTGGAATGAGGAGTAACGGTAGTTCGAACTAGGAAGCCTAGTTCGAACTACCTAGTTCGTGCCCCGTGTAGCCGCGCTGCACGGGGTTCGAACGAGCGGGGTTTTAAAAATGGCGGCGCCCCGCTTATGCAAATGAAGCCCGGGAAATTCAAATCCCGGGCTTCATTTGCAAGTGCGGTATGCCTACATTACCCTCCTAGTTCGAACTAGGAGGGTAGTGTAGACATACCCATATAGAGCAAGCAGAAATCTTGTTGGCATGACTTCCTCTAGTAAGAAGTAAAAAGCACAGAGGAATTTAGCATAATATGGCATGAAAGGAGCTTTGCATTTACCGAATGAAAGGGCAACTAAGAGACAGGGGGGTGTTTGTGTTCTGAGTGTTTGGCAGTGTAGCTGCCATTTTTTCCCTGCAGATTAAAAGAACACCAGCTTCTTTGAATCTGTTTGCTTTCCAAAAATGAGAAAAAGGTAGCTTCACATACTGCACCTGCACCTGAGTCTTCTCGTCTGGAAGGCAAAATTCTGAGTCCTACTGCCCATTTTATGGTTTTACAATTACATTTCCTTATATATGTATTATGTCTTGCTCAGAGGACTGTTTCCAGTTCTGAGTTTTTGCTTTATCAAACTGCAGCCCAAACAACAAAGGAAACAAATTGACTCAATAAACAGAATGTACAGGAAACAGTGTGCTTTTTAAAAGTCAAACAAAAGAAAGAAAAATATAGTAGGGTACATTCTCTCAGGCTATGGTAATCAAAGCTTCATTTACCTCAGTGGAGCTATGACAGTGTACACAAACTGAAGCTCTTTCACTTCCCTCATTCAGTTACAGTAATTTTAAGTGTCACTTTCAAGAATAATATATTAAAATAAATTGATTGTATATATTATATTAGATTGGCTGTGCCCTTTAAGTCACCCTTTTGGTTTCCTTAATATCTGACTTTTGGGAATTTACATTTCCTATCATATCAAGGATATTTTCTTCTCAACTGAAAGCCTCCATATTTAACTTAAAAATCATATATTTTCTTCTTGTGGTAAACGGATAAACAATTATTAATATTAAATCCATGTACCTTAATGCTTGAGCCCTGAGCTAGAGGACTGTTTCCAGTTCTGAGTGCCACACTTGGAAAAAAAAAACATGGACAAATTAGAGAGAGTCTAGAGGAGATCAACAAAAATAACAAAGGTTTTACAAAACCTGACCAGTGAGGAAAGATTAAAAAAAGAAAAGCTAGGCATGTTTAGCCTTGAGAAATGAAGACTGAGAGGAGACTCGATAACAGTATAAATTTGTTAAAGGCTTTTATAAAGAAGATGGTGTATTATTTTTCTGCATATCCACTAAACATAAGGCAAACATTTGGCTTAATCTGAAGCAAGGGAGATTTAGCTATTAGGAGAAACTCTCAGAAAGTATACTTAGGTACTAGGGATATTAGAGATTAACCAGTTAATTGATAAACTGATGCTTATTGATTAATGTTATCGGTTACACTGGGGAGGCTTCGCTGGAGGCTCTGCAATATAAAACTTATTTGAGCTTTATACTTCAGAGCCTGCAGCGTGTGCAGCTGTGTAACCACTAAGATTTTCAGTGGTCATACAATTATCTTTTTAACCAAATGTTTACATCCCTATTGTAGAAACTAAAATTTCATACAGTGACTTGTTTATACTACTCTCTATATACTGTACACTGAAATGAAAGCATATTTATATTCCATTTGATTTATTTTATAATAATATGATAAAAATAAGAAAATAAGCACATTTTTCAGTAATAGTGACCTGTGACCTATTTGTTTGTCTTATTTTTGTAAGTAAATCATTTGTAGGTGAGATGAAACTTACGAGTATGCAGGACAAATAAGACTCTTGAAAGTGGTACAGTATATTGGAAAGGTTGAGAGCTGCTGATCTAAATATACTTGATTCTGCCTCAGCAAGTTGGGGTGGACTAAATGACCTCTCCAGGTTCCTTCTAAACCTATTTTTCTATAATCTGTGGTTCTATGTTTTAGGCTATTAATTGTACATAAACTATCAGAACTCTATAGATGCTCAAATGTCTCCACATTAGAGAGGTTTCAGCCTGCAGGGTTTGGAACACTTTGGCTTCAGGGCAAGAAACCATTTAAATGTTATATCCACATTACTGTTCAAACCAATGGGACTATGTATGTACTTAACGTGTACAAATGCTTTGTGGGATCAGGGCCAGAGTGCATTGAATATGAGAGCAAGAAGAAGACCAATAAATGACAAAGAAAAGAACGTTAAGGATAGAATCTTTTAACTAATGCTACTAACCTACTAATTTTATAGATATAACTATGATAAAATTACTTTCTAGTGAATCTTTTTCAGAGCTTTACATCTTTTAAAAGTTTTCTTTATACATACAGAAATTCAATGTCTGTGTTGATTTGCATTAATTTATTTTGGTTGTTTCATATAAAATATATTTATATTTCCTTTAAGGAAGCATTGTGTGTGTGATTATTTTAGTTGTTTTGTTTCTGTTTGACCTTTTAATCTATATCAACTATTTCGTTTGCATTTGGTTTTCATGTTTGTTTATTTCAGTTAAACATACCAATGACTCAAGCTCACCTAATGCTGCTGTTACTAAGGGTGAGTTGAATGCACCTGTTTCTTTGCCTTTGAGTGAGTTCACAATGAGAACACTCACTGTATTGGGTAATCTGAAATTTTAGTAATATGAAGTATATCAGCTTAGATAAAATACTGTTACTGTTTTAGAAAAGCTTTTAATGTGTCTACAGAGTATAAGCAGAGCATGCATCAGTATTTACTCAGTCTTTACTATCTTGACTGAGGTCCGAGGGACTTTTAACATTACTGCAGTGCTTTTGCCATGTGAAATAAAGAACTCCGAGAAGTGGACCTGACAGAAACTATTTTCCAGAGTTGCCAGTTTTCCTGATCAAGACAGTGATTAAAAGGGAAGGAGCTCTAAGATAGATGGAAAAAAATCATCTCTGGTGACTAGCTAATGTTAAAATATGCTACCATGTTTAATGTTACAATAGCAGAAAATATGGATAGGATTGAGAAGGGTGTGTAGCTAACAGAATATATCTGGATTCTCAACCTAAATTCTAGAATGTGTTGGATGATTTTAGGTGAAAGATTTCTGTTGGAAAATGCTGTTTTGACAAAAAGGATGGATTTTCAGGATTTTTTAAAAAGAAAAAAACTAATAAAATATTTAAATGTTATATTTTGATATCTCTGGATCTACAAGTTTTTATTTTTTTTATTGTAACATAAGCTTTCCGCCTCTTCAGGGTTTTTTTTTCCAAATAGAACACTAAATGGACAGTAAAAAGAAAGGACTGAGTTTAGTGAAACAAAATAGTTCAAGTGACTTAATGGCATTTTGGAGAGGTATTTCACTTCATGAAAAATTTCACAATTATGGCTTTTTGTTACAGTTTGGATTCAAAAGAAATACTTCCATAAGGTGGAAAATCTGTTTTCCACTGAGTTCTATCAAATACTTTATTTCCCCTTAAAACACAGTTATCAGTCATTGAATATAAAGGAAATATATTTTAAAATAATCTTTTTCAAAAATTAGTAATTCTGAGTGCCTCAGTTTTTGGAGTACCCAAGCAACAACACCTGGGAGGAACTTGATTTTTCACAGGACTAAGGCTGGACAGTTTCTGAAAATCAGGCCCTTTTCAGGTATCTCAGGCTGCATGTCTAAGTTTTCTGGTCATGTCTGAAAACCTTGTCACATGTGCATGAATATTTGTAGAGTACTGTGCAGATACAAAAATGTGAGTCTGCACAGGCTCAACCCTTCATCCAATCTGCTAGTCAGATTTTACATTCATCTGAACTGGCAGCAGCAAGCCATCTGGAGGGGAGGAGGGAGAGTGCACAGATGAGCAAAGGGGTGGGGTCTTTCAGGAAGAGGCAGCAGGAAAGGAGGGACTGAGGATCAGGATTAGCAGGACAGAAAGGCAGGAACTTGAAAGCTGGCAGTGCAGCCTGCACTGCCAGGCTGGGCCATGGTAAGGACATTGATGCTGTGTAAGGGGTCCAAGCTGCTGGCCGGGAAGTTGCACAAGGAACTGGTGCTGGACAGCCCTGACTGTGACCTGCCATTCAGCCCCAACCACAGGCTCCTGGCCCTGAGTGTGCTGTGCCCCAAGGCCTGTCCCAGCTGAACACCATAGGCCAAGCTCTACTGGTGTTGGCATCAGACCATCTGCCCTGCAGGAGGCTCCTGGGGGCATCCCAGCACCCCAGGAGTGAGCTCAGTGCACACAGAGGCTGGGAGGTCTAGGGGCAGATGCCCCTGGCCATGCCACCACCTGCCCCAGGTGCCAGCTCCACTTCCCCCATAGCTCCAGCCCTGCAAAGCTGAGCCCTCCCTCATCATAACAGGGCAGCCTGCTGCATTTCTGGAATCTGGCACCCTCCTCCTCTTCTCCCAGAAATGAGTCACTTTCCCCATGCATGCCTCAGCTGCAAGAGCCAGCAGCACTGGAACAGTGGGCAGCGTATCCCCCTGAGGCAGTCCCCTCCTGCAAGGAGGGGCATTTGGATTGACCAAGGGGAACCTGTTGTTCCCCTGTGCTGCCTGCAGTGGGAGCTCTGACCAGCACCTTTCTCTGTGCCCCGCACAAGTGTCCTTATCCGCTCCATTAGCTGCAAAAATTGTCCGTGGATTTCTGCAGATATGCAGGGCTTAAACATCTGTGTACAGAACATGTACTCATTGGTACATGTAGTACACGCTATACCAAGAGACACAAAGCAATTAAAAAAGGCAAAAAAAAATGAAAAAAGCTGGCTTATAAGGTAGAAATGATATATTAGGAAACTGTCAGTAAACCGTTTCTGTTGAAGAAGCAGTAAACATTTTAATGACATATTGGCTATTAATTGTTATTGAATAACCATTTAACAATATGAATTGTTAAACTGCATTGTCAAAGAAACAATTGATTTTTTTTGTTGGCAGTCTAGCATAAATGGTTATCTGAAACCCAGTAGAGTAAGAGTGAGTTTTGTTATGAACAGTGTCTTGCTTTCAAGCTGTACTTCCAAATGCTTTCCTGGGTTATTGTAAATTCGGCAAATGTAGAGGGAAGGAGAATTCTTTGCAACTGGCAAAGAAGAAACGATTTGATATCAGCTGAGATTTCAAAGACCATATAGATTTAGTGGAGGGGAAATGTATGAGGAAGACTCTTTCAGATGCCAAGAACAGATGAGGGAAAGATTCATTCACCATCATAGGGCAGTGTGTGTGGTGCAGCGCGGAAATAAGGAAGCAGAGAGAAGATAAGTGGTAGCTAAGCAGATTGATCAGTCCGGAAAAAGGGAGGGGGGAGATCTAGGAGAGAGTCTGCAGCAAATTCTCAGGAGAGATTTTTTTTTTGAGGCATGGCAGGACATTCTGAACAGAGTCTTAAATTTGCCTGGGAACCAGGGAGGGAGGTTGAGGATAAGGCACACTTCTTAGGGCATTGGAGGCAGGAAGCCGAATTTTTCTTAGGCTGTTGCTTGGAGGAATAGGGCTTAGATCTTAGTTTGGAGGGACTGGAATCTCTTAACATAGGCAAGTAAAACAACAGATAACAGAGTTTTAACTCTCCTTTTCTCTCAGGCTTCAGAGCCAGACTCACATGAGTCCCTGGTGTTCCTCTTCCTGGAAACATCCCAGTTCTTTACAGCTTTGCTCCCTCTCTCGAGTACTAGCCCCAGGGTTGCTTTCTGGAGTCCTGGAATGCTTGCTCCAGGAACCCCATCATAGGAGTCACCAGTACTGCACCATTGTTTCCCTTTCCTTCCCTTCCCTTCCCTTCCCTTCCCTTCCCTTCCCTTCCCTTCCCTTCCCTTCCCTTCCCTAGGCATGGCCTGTCCCAATCATTCTCTTCCATCTCCCATGCCTTGCCCTCTGTTAATCCTTACTAGGCACAGGGGTATCCACACTACTTTAATGGATGGATTGGGTTCACCTGCTCTGACCCAAGGGAGTTTGGCTCAGTTCTACTCATGGGGACCAGCTCCCCAGTGCACACCCCTTCACCATATACAATTTGGGGGTGTGTCTAGACTACAGGGTTTTGTCGACAAAAGTGGACTTTTGTCGACAAAACTATACCTGAGTCCACACTGCCTTTGAGTTATGTCGACATAACGTTGACAAAACTCAGCAGTTTTGTCGACGTATGTAAACCTCATTCTACAAGGAATAAAGCCTTTTGTCGACAGAGTTCTGTCAATAGAAGGCATTATTGCATCTACACTGTCCTTTGCGTCCACACTGTTATGTCGACAAAGCGGCTTGCTTTGTCGACAGAACTGGATGTAGTCTAGACGCTCTATGTCAACATAAGTCTAGACAAACCCTGGGAGTCATACGGATGTAGTTATAACTCTGGCCCCTTTAAGACTGCTATCCCCCAACCACCAGCATCGTCAGCAACCAGGAGCTCTTGTAGCAGCATAATTCAGCACTAGCCTCCCCCTGAAAATCTTCTGGGCAGGTCTGCCTCTTTATGACACCAACAGTAGCAGCCAGAGAAAGAGGCCCCCACAATTGTATGACTCCACCCCTGAAAGCTGGCTGAAAATGAACTGCTCATGAGAGCAGAGTTGTGTATCTTCTTAAGGGGTTTGCAGATTCAGGGTTCTGGTTTTGGGGGAGAGAAGGTTTTAATTTTATTCCTGTGTTTGGAATGTAAGTAATAAAACAAAGCCCTGGGTAGGGCCTTTAGAAAAAATACCACCAGTATAAATATAATGAAAATAACTCAATGAATGAATATTCCAGAAAACTTCTGTCCAAAGCAATATTTTTAAGATGGTTAGAGGGTACAGGATGATTCAGGGACAGCACCTTAATGACCCTCTTCATTTATCTTTTTTTGTAGCTAATTTCATCAAGGAAAGAAAACCCAAAATACTGATACCACACGAACCATCTGGTAGCAGCTCATCAGTTACCGTCATCAAAGGAGGAGTTCTACTACTTGAATGCATTGCTGAAGGGCTGTGAGTATTGCACGCACTTAACAAACTTGTGGAATAAAATTTAAGGAAGTACCTTTAAAAAATCTCCAACTAAGTGTATAATTTTACACCAAAACTTCATGCAGTTTCTCTATAAATACATTATACTTGTTGAAAACTAGTGTAGAGTTACAATGGAGAAAGTTTTATGTTGACGAGAGAGTAACATACAGGTTATAGACAAGTATATCTAAAGAAGCTTCAAGGGGTAGCCAAGTTAGCCTGTACAGGATAAACTTAAAAAACAACACATGGTCTGGTAGCACTTTATAGACTAACAAACATGTAGATGGTATCATGAGCTTTCGTGGGCACAGCCCACTTCTTCAGATGTCCGGAGTTTTGAGTTTAGGAAACTCAATTCTCTGGGTCCTAGTGGCACCCTTCCCTCCCCTCCCCACAGTCTGGCCCCTGAGGCGGCCACCTCAGTTCACCTCATGGTAAGGCCAGCCCTGGCTTTTCCACCTTCAGTGAGATTGCAGTACAATTTCTTGAGTACCCTCTTACAAGGTTTCATGCTTTCCATGATGCCCATTCAGAAACAAGTCCAACAACTGAGTAAAAGATAAGGAGAGTTTGAATCAGGGTTTTGGTTTTTCCCATGATGAAGATAAGGCTCCACCTGCAAAATTAGATATGGATTCACATTTGGGAATGTTCAGGGTTTAGTTTGGACCAATTTCAATGGGTGCTGGAATAGCTAGTCCCCAGGCCTAGGATTAGCTCTCTGCATTGAATGGAAATCTCAAATCCCATCTTTATTAGTATTGGTAATACCATCATGCCACAGAGCCCTAGTCCTTCCTGTTGTGCTCGTCACTGTACAAAAAGAGCATCTCTGGCCCCAAAAACTTATAACCTAAGACACGATGCAACAAACAGATAGACAGTGAGATTTCATCTTTATTGCCATACACAGAGGATGAAAAATGCATGGCAAATGGGAAAATATAAGCAGACCTGATTGAAGTGTAACCTTCATGATCATAGAATCATAGATCACGAGAACTGGAAGGGACCCTGAGAGGTCATCAAGTCCAGTCCCCTGTCCTCACAGCACCATCTAGGCCATCCCTGATAGATGTCTATCTAAGCTGCTCTTATATATCTCCAGAGATGGAGATTCCACAACTTCCCTAGACAATTTATTCCAGTGTTTAACCACCCTGACAGGAAGTTTTTCCTAAAGTTCAACCTAAAGCTCCTTTGCTGCAGTTTAAGCCCGTTGCTTCTTGATGATGATGTGGTGCTTAGCTGTGAATACTCCTCTAAGCCCAACTCCTCCTAGTGGACAGAGGTAGTTTGATAGCCAGGCAGAAGCACTTTCATCAAAACTGGATTAGGTTTACTTATACCGTCTTTCTTGATCACCAGTTTTCAACTTGTATTTATGCGTGCAACTTTCTACCCCAAAAAAGTTGTTGTAAAGAAACTAGAAGGTAAAGCCTAAAACCTCTCTACCCATTAAAGTTAGTAGGGAAAACACATTTGCTTCTGGCTGTTGTGTGATAGAGCTCCATGTTGAATGGGTGTTGAAATCATCATGTTTCCAACCTGTATTATTGACAGGGCTCGACAAATAATGCAAGGTACTCATCCATGGCGAGTAGATTGCAACCTGGAAGAGTCGGGTTCGGGCAATCTGCGCATGCACAGAACAATTTGCACATGCTCAGATTGCCGGATAGCGCCAGAACTCCATGTCCCTATGTTCTCACCGTGGTTAACAGATAAATGATCCATGCACAATTATCTCCCAATATAAATCTCAAAATCAGAGTGTTTATCTGCTTGAGCAAATATGTTCAGGGCATCTTGCTTGTACATGCTTGTTTGAAAGGGCATCACTCACCCTTAGGATATACAAGATTATGACTTTGCAGTTGGTTACCATTTTCCCATGTCCCTATGTTCTCACCGTGGTTAACAGATAAATGATCCATGCACAATTATCTCCCAATATAAATCTCAAAATCAGAGTGTTTATCTGCTTGAGCAAATATGTTCAGGGCATCTTGCTTGTACATGCTTGTTTGAAAGGGCATCACTCACCCTTAGGATATACAAGATTATGACTTTGCAGTTGGTTACCATTTTCTGAGAGCAAGTGATCAACTCATCTCTGACTTAATTCCAAGTAACTGCATTAATTACAAGTAATTCCTTTTTGCAGTACGTCCAAGCCCTAGTTCATTGTTACCTGTGCCTGTGAACTTCCTTTTTATCCAGTAGATAGATTATTTGTTTAAATGTGCAAGTGTTATGCTCAGGAATGCAAGGAAGTGATCATGTTGGTTCAAACAAAGACAGTATGGGACATGTTCTTCAAATTTCCTTATAAAACTTTCCCCATGTGCTATATAATTAGGGCTCTACCCAATTCACTGTCCATTTTGGCCAATTCCAGGCTCATAGGATTTTTTAAATCATATATTTCATGTTCTCAGCTATTTAAATCTGAAATTTCATGGTGTTGTAATTGTAGGGTACCTGACCCCAAAAGGGTTGGGGATGGGGAGTGTTTGCAAGGTTATTGTAGAGATGGTTTCATTACTGCTATTTTTACACCTGTGTAGCTGCTGGTGGGGGAATTGCCTTCAGAGCAGGGCAGCTGGAGAATGGTGGCTGCTGGTCAATAACCCAGCTCTGATGGCAAACCCACCAACAGCAGCAGCATAGAAATAAGGGTGGCATGCTATGGTATTGCCACCATTACTTTTGTGTTATTGTCTGCAGAACTGGGCCATCAGTCAGCAGCTGTCGCTCCCAGCCACCCAGCTCTGAAGGCAGCAGTGCAGAAGGATGGCATGGTATGGAATTGCTATGATTACTTCTGCACTGCTGCTGTCAGCAGGCTGCTGTCAGAACTGAGAGTCTGGCCACAGCTGCCACTTTCCAGCTGCCCAGCTCTGAAGGCAGCACAGAAGTAAGGATGGCAAAACTGCAGCTCTCCTAAAATAATCTTGCACCCTGCCCTGCAAAACACTTTTGGATTAGGACCCTCAATTCAAGAAACACTTCCCCTGAAATTGGCATAGTATGGGGTAAATGACAAGATTTCATGGTCCATGATGCATTTTTCATGGCTGTAAATCTAGCGATACTCTAAATATAATTAAACAAGGAGGGGAAAGGAAAGTATACTCCATAAAAATGTTCAAAAAGGAATGAACACTTTACCCATTCATTCAACATTTTCCATGGCATGTTTATTTTTTGTGTACAAAAAAACCCTAATTGAAATGAGATTTTCACAAAAGAAAAATTACTTCCTCTTTCAAATCTAAAAGAAAGAGTTGGGATGGTAATGAATTACAAAATGTGGGTATGGGGAGGAGGAGGATGGGCATTATCCTTACTGAAACAAAATGAATATATTTTTTTAAAAACTATTTTTGTGATTTTAAGTAGTGCATCAAAACAAAGGATGTTAAAATGGTTAATCATTAAGTATACTATTAAGCTTATTGGTATACTTAAGGTTTAACTGGTTAACTGCCCCCTTCACCGTGGCAGTTCTGGCTGTGCAGAGACTGGTGGGAAAGGTGGTGGGAACCCCATCTCAGACAGGGCTGAGGGACCAGTCTGGCATTGAGCCCAGAGATAAATGGTTAAATAACTGTTTTAACATATCTAATCAAAACATGATTGAATGATGCCAAAATTTAAAAAAAAAAGGATAATCAAAAAGATATTTTCCTTCGGAAAACTAATAATGGAAATTTTCAGTAGGTTCTAACTATATTCCTCCAGTTTGCCTCCCCTTGCAGTTCATGCCTGTAGCTGTTTTATGCAATGAGCCCATGTCAATCAGGAACTAGATTAGCTAGATTGAGACAAGTATTGAAGTCTGAAGACTAGGACCTGTCAATCAAATAATAATTAACAGCAGTAACTATATTGCCACTTTGAGATCTCTGAAGGTTTTATCCAAATCTTGAAAATGGCAGGCGACTCCTGTACTTGGTACAATGATCTACACAAGTGCTGATGAAACATAGGGGTTGCCTTACTGTCGTTGTTACAATACTATACCAGGGATGAACTCTCTTGCAGAAAATATGACACTTGCACTATTATCCATGCTATTCATAAAAGAACATAATTTCTTGGTACCTGGGGCTTTGAGTAACTTGTGCCTGGGAATTTTGCCATCTTAACAGATGGACACAAGAGTAAGCAGATATGACACTGTGTCTATGCATCATGTGTGGTGCTGGGGTCAGGAAACCCAGCTGGGAATGCTCAGACAGCAATCTGTCCTGTACTTCTGTGTCTCTGCTTTGAGTGCGCTCCTAACTTTCTAAACCTATAAAGTAGCTTTTTCAGCCATCTGCGACAGGCAGTTAGCCCTGTCTAATCAGGCAGAGTACAGGGCAGAGTTATTTTAATGAAGTCTTTACCCCCTTGTCTGTCTACAAGAAGTCCCTGAGGAACAGAACAAAACAAGCTTCATTGCCTCTACTACAGTTCATGCCAATATGTTTACAAGGAATGCATGCCTGTTTTGTGGCATAGTGTCAGCTATAAAGGGTTTTTTTGTATACAAGCCCCTTTTCCCCCACAGGCAGTACAAACTATGGACAATATCGAACCTTCATTTAGGATGTTTTAATGGGTAAAACATTACACACAGAGAAGGGCCATTGGGAGAGTTCTGGAATCATGATCTTGCAAAGGGAAATGCAAACATTCCTACCTTCTGTAGTTATATTGAACTGAAATGTTATCTCTTGTTTTTTAATTCAATATCTTTCATTTTTCTCCTAGCCCAACTCCGCATCTTAACTGGATTAAGGTTGGTAGAGATTTGCCAAAGGATAGAGCAATGACAGAAAGTTTTGGAAAGATTTTGAAGATAGAACAAGTTTCTGCAGCAGATGAAGGAACGTATGAATGCACAGCAAGCAACTCTGTGGGAAGAGCAAAACATGAGTTTCACGTCCACGTGGAAGGTGCCGTGTACATTTTAATGGGTTTTATATTTTGAATAATAAACAAAGAGGGGTGTCACCATCTCTGCTGGCATAAATCAGCATGATTCCATTGAAGTCCATGGAGCTGCATTAATTTATACCAGCTGAAGCTCTGGCCCTGATTTTATATTTGTATGGCTTAACCTTACATTTCCTGTAAAATGATACTCTTTTCACAAGCCCTGAAGATTTTGTAGCACGGGAAGATAAAATGGCACTATATACAAAAACAGTACTATAAATTAGATATGGTTTAGTGAAGCAAGATTAGTGGATTAAATTCTGTGGCATGTGTTATGCAGGAAGTCAGATTAGACAATTTAATATTCCCTGGTGGCTTTAAAATCTATGAAACTATGAGAGGTATAATTTACATATTTAGTTAGTTTTAAATGTGAGAAATGCAATATCTTTGACCAGATCTTGCACTCTTTAGTCAAACATAACTCCTAATCTGGAAAGTCTATCTGTTAAATCCAAAGCATCCGTGATAGAAAGAGAAATTAGGAGAACCAGTCTTCTCCTCAATAATGGGAATATAACACAGTCACAAAGAGTAATCTACCTGCTTTTAATTATATTTGCCACCATTTGAAAGTTGCCAGTGATTTCTCAGCTAGATTACTTCAATTTCCTTACCTATGTCCCCTCCAGGTTGCCCAAAATGCCACAGATGAACAATCTTCACTATTTCCTACCACATGACTCTCTGATCCTTTCTTTGGCCCATCTTACATTCTGTTGAAACTTCTCAACCTCACTTGCAGGACTCTGCTGCTGCTCTAATATATGCCAATGATCATCTTTTACTCTGCTGATTCTGCTTATCTTTGTGATCCCTTGGCCTCATCTTCAAAATACAAATTCCACTTTCACACTACCCCACACATCTGGAATCACTCCTTACCATCCAATGCGCCCAGTGACATCATTCTCCTTTTTCATCCCTCACCTCTCCCTACTTTTTTCCTGACAACCAATCTTCTCTAGAGCACCTGCCTTTGAACATGAGAATGGCCATACTATGTCAGACCAAAGGCCCATCTAGCCCAGTTTCCTGTCTGCCAACAGAGGCTACTACCAGATGCCCCAGAGGGAGGGATCACAACAGGTAATCCTCACATGATCTCTCCCCTGTCACCCACTTCCAGAGAAACAGAGGCCAGGGACACCATTCCTACCCATCCTGGCTAATAGCCATTGATGGACCTAACCTCCATGAATCTATCTAGCTCATTTTTGAACCCTGTTAAAGTTCTAGCCTTCACCACATCCTCTGGCAACTCTCATCCCTGAATTAACTTACCTTGGATTCATTAACAGGGATGGAGTGTCCAGGATCTTCAGCCTCAAAAGCACAAGCATAAAAGAGTAACTTAATTAGCGGATGGAAGTAGAAGAGGTTACACGATCACTCACACTTAGCCAGTGTTTCACATATTACAGTTTGTGAAAGTTTAATAAAATGCTCACAGAGTTACCACAACATGACAATATAAGTGACTGTAATTCTGACTGTAAAAGCAAATTGCCTAGCAAGAGCTAGGGACCTCGCCATTGACTCACTTTTCCACACTTCCTCTGTTTTGTAACCCCCTACAAGTCTATTGACAGCCTCATTCATTAATGTTGTTGTTACTCCTGTACTATCCGTGTACATTAGCCTGGATATGCAAACTGTATCTCTTCCTCTGCAAAGGCTAGAAAGACCAGCCCAGGTCATAAGATGCCATCACAAATTTCTGTCTCCAGTAATTAAATAATACATTGGTGAAAAATTGCTCTGTTAGTGTCACCCATGCTTCCTCTGGATGTCTATGTCGACCTATAGTGGCTGGACCACAGGAAGGTTTTTATGAATCTGCTTCAGCCTTTGGCTGTGAGACCCAGATCTTTCAGTGTAGTCCCTAGAGGCACCTGCTTTTAGACCAACATGTCCAGTGTTCTATCCCAATGACCAGAACTTGGTTTGAAATCAATGGAGTTTGCACATTTTCTTGTCTATTATTATTAGTGTAAGGATATTGAGTGGTAAAACCAGTCAATATAGTATCTTACAATAGTCAATAGGCGGGCTATACAACAGTACAAATCACTGCCAATTGTGAATCAAAAGTGAGAAAACATCTGGAGGGAAACCAATGCCTAGACCAGCAGGAGTAATAAAGTGAATTTGCAGATAAATGCCTCTTCTTCAAAGTTAACAGGGCAATCCAGCCCCAGGACCAGGCAGCAGTATTCCCTGTAAGCTGTATGCTTGTGTGGTCACTCAGGAGAGATTCAGATGCCGCCCAGCAGATTAGCAGAATGCCCACAGCTAGGGTTTTTTTGTACTTGTGGTGCTCATCCTCACATGCCTTGGTGCACATACAAAAATTATTTCACACATGGATGGAAAAGGTGAGAGGGAATGTTGCCAAGCAGCATGTAATTGTGTTGCTTCAGTAACAGAGTCAGAACAGAGTGTGAAAGTTGCAATGTGATTTGTTCCCCAGTGCTCCGGAGCACAGGGATGTGCACCATTCCTCTTTTTGCATAAGGTTATGTCTCCAAGTATCCATTGGCTAACTTGGTGGAAACTTGGCTCCAGCCACCCACCACCTGCTCAGCAGGGGGAGTAGCAGCCTGGTGGCATCTTCTTCCCTCCATCACTCTAAATGCAGCAGGGATGTGGGGAGCTTATGCTGGACCATGTGGTGGATCTTTATTTACTCCCCTGTATTGCTGTGTCTAGGCACAGAACTGGGCTCAAGATTCCCCAACAGAGGAGAGGAGCAGGGATGTGGGGAGCTTATGCTGGAGCATGTGGTGGATCTTTAATTACTCCCCTGTATTGCTGTGTCCAGGCACAGAGCTGGGCTCAAGATTCCCCAACAGAGTACAACACTGAGTGATGCTGTCATTTGTTAATGTTACTATTTCAGTCGGGCCAACGGCTGCTGGTTTGGGTCAGACACCCAAATTAGCTATGGAATGAAGAATCTGAAACATAACTGAAACATTTTTCAGGGAATGAAGAATCTGAAACATAACTGAAAGACTCGGTGAAAACATTTTTCACTTGCCATGAGCAAAAGAGAGACCCGCACTGTAGTGAGAGTAATGTGCTTGTGGGCTATTAAGCCATCTACAGCAGCCAGCTGCTCGATTTTACTCTTCACTTCTCCATCTCTCTTCACTCCTCCATAGACAGGAAACCAGAGAGGAAAAGCATCCTTTCAGGCATCTACACAGTGTTTTGTAACGTAATGTGACTCATCATGCCCTGTCATGTGACACACTAGGATATTATTTATTCTCTTCCTGCAAGTGGTGAGGAATGGGACACCATGGCCTGGAGTTTTTAAATGCGCCAGTTGTGAAAGTTGCTGACGCTTAGAAATCACTCCAGATGGTGTGGAACGTCTCTGCAGTAGCTGAATATTTTAACAATCTGGTCATGGTTTTCCCGACTGTAAAAACTGAAGCCATCAAAGCAATCGCACAAGTTTCAAAAAGTAGCATACAAAGGGAATAACATTAATTAAGTTGTTCAGTATGTTGACCACAGATCTCTACAGGGACAAAAGCTTTGTGATGAATAATTTTCTATTCATTAACCAGCTAGTACCCAAAAATTACTCTTTTGCCATAGAGAGAATACTTTTTCTGAGAGGTAAAGCCCCTCTCTCTTGCATATAACTAAGATAGGTTGCTGTCTTTAATAGGAATTTAATTTATTAGTAGTCTCCTCCCATGCAAAATATTAGGCACAACTAAGCCCAAACATTTTCCTTTCCTAGAATTCCTTTCCTAGAAATCAGTAAATGTCATGAGTTTCCATCACAGAGCCACATCTTTAGTCTCATTCTCTCTCTGTGCACGTGACAGGGTCAGCACCTCAGTTGGTGTAAGTGAGTGTAGCTCTATTGGCCTTGGTGAAGTCATGCCTCTTTGTGGCATCTAAGGTGTGATGGTTTCTCTCTGGGAATGTGTACAGGAAGAGAAAAAATTGCTTTCCATGCTATTAACTAGCACTGCTGTTCTGTCCATTCCCTCTCCTGTTGCTCTTGTATCAATCAGAATCTAACTCTCATTCCTCAGTGTGTCAGACCTGCAATTCCTCTTGTTGTTATTCAAACATGTTAAAACACAATCTCAGTCTTTGAAACAGCATTCTTAAGTGATGGCATTTGCATGCAGCCCGTTTACTAATCCTACAATAGTGTGAGGGCCAAGTTGCGAGCAATTATGATAAAGCATACAAAAATGTTCAGCCAGCAAATTGTATGACTGCTTGAACATTTTAATCTCTCTTTGAAAAGCGATGTAGCCTAGAACATTGGAATGGGGACAGAAAACCCTATTAATGCCATTATAGCAGGGTTAGGTTCTTTAAAAAAACAAATTGTCATGATTTCAAAGACTTTAATTTATTGCATATAATTACCCCCCATTTGCAATTCTTCTAGCCTCTGAAGTTTTTAACTAGCACAGTACCTGGCATCATAATTTTGGTTGGGCATGTCTAATCTTTACTGTAACAATAATAATAGTAATTAATAATAATAATATGGGAAGGGACATCATTTTCCAAAAAAGCCCAACACCAAACCACATACCAATTTTAATCACAATGCCCACATTTACAGCTCTGTTAAAAGGGGTGAATTCCCCATTCAAGTTTCTGCCTTTACTCATCTTGCTCACACATCAGCAACTTGCTGGCATAAATGTGGGATTTTTCAGATACAAGTTACCTGTATTTGTGTTTTGATGCTGCATTCATTGCATTTAATATACTAATAAGCAGCACAGCACTGCTTCCTCATAGAGAGGGGCTTCTCTAGTGTTTTCACAGTGTAGACTATATTTTAATATAGATTGTCTCAGGGACACCTGTAGACTCACAAGATTGATGAGGCAATTCTAGCAGTTTCTTACTTAAAAAAAATATCATTAGGAAAGTACTTAGGCTGGGTATTTTTAGCTCTTCTCTAATTCTTCTGAGCAGCTGGACATAAGGAGGTAGCACCACGTGGGGGGCAGCCTCTTTGAACTGCCAGCAATTCTCCATCGAGAACAGGTGATCTTGGGGTACATTTTAGAAACCTTTTTATTAGAGTGTTGTCACCATCTCATTTCTGTCTTGGTCCTTATCTTCAAGATTCTTAGTGACCTGGGCACAGCATCAATCTAGAAGATTGCCTAAAGCTCCAGGGTGAGGTCTGCGATTAACCACTTCTCAGTCACAATGGAACTTTCTACCTCATCCATGAAAGAAACAGAACTTTGGGTCCATACCATGTGGGAAAAAATTCTCATAAAAACCAAGGGCTATCAGACTTCCCCATCTTCTGCTCCATGTGCAAGATGTGATGCTTTGACCTTCTGTAATGTGAATGCCACAGCATTGTTTACATATTTAAGAAAGAAAAGGAAAAGCCTATCAAAACAAACACTACGCTACCCACTCAATTATCCTTATTAATATAGACAAAGTATTTACTTCCTGTTCTAAGACCAAGGAAATATGGCACAGCAGCACTGCATCTGTGGTTCCACCATGTGGGCAACTTTTAGCATTGTTGACTTGTGAGTGATGACTACTCTGTCTTAAACATTTAGGGCCTGATTCCAAGACCACTGCAGTCATAGAAAGACTCCCATTTACTTCACTGATCTTTAGACCAGGCCCCTGGGATCCCAGTTGTCTGGCTAATGCGAGGATGATGCAAAGGTGTTGGATGCACAGGAAACCTCTTTGGCCCATGCAAAGAGACAAGAATGGGAACAGCCCCTGCATTCCCTCAGAAACCAAAATATTCTCAACATTGCAGGTTCTTCCATCTGCAATTATATCCAGCTCCCACTGAAGACAGTAGAAGCCACATGGTCTTGCTTCCAAGGGGAGGATTTGGGTTGAAGAGATATTTGCGGCTTGGGTTCATTGCTGAGATGCTTATTCTTCATTTCAGAAATAGGAGCTCCATATTGAGAGGTTTTTTCTGAAAATATGAAACCAAACAACCTTGCCAGTTTCACCACCCTTTCCAAATGCAAACATTTAGCTCTGTGCTTAGAGCTGGGCATTGTCAAACACTGTCCACTTCCCACAGCCTCTCCTTAGTGTTTGTGGAAATTAAATGCCATGTAAACAGTGGAGAATGTGTATATATCATTTTAATTTCTCTGGCAGAATCATTTTATAAGTCAAAATAAAATGAGAACGGATTTGTCCTTTAAAGGAGAATAGTGATAGAAATGTAGCCGTGTTAGTCTGGGGTAGTTGAAGCAAAATGCAGGACAATGTAGCACTTTAAAGACTAACAAGATGGTTTATTAGATGATGAGCTTTCGCTTTCTTCCACTATTTGATCTGAGGAAGTGGGTCTGGCCCACGAAAGCTCATCATCTAATAAACCATCTTGTTAGTCTTTAAAGTGCTACATTGTCCTGCATTTTCCTTTAAAGGAGAACCTGTTCTTCAATAGTTGACTGTGTGCGCCATCTGCTGGAAGACCTCAGTGACAGCAGCGTCTCTGTGAGCGTTTATTACTAATTCAGGTCGTACTTCTATAGTCTGACACCCTGGGGACCCAACTGGTGCCTAACCAGAGAATTTTCCTAACCACAGGAGGTCAATCTTGTCTAGCAGCATTACCAACACTTCCACTGCTTACTGGGCTCTTAGAAGACATTTAAGAGTAAATTAGAGCTAAATAACAGCACAGAATACTGAGAGTCAGGACTGGTGGTTATAAACAAACTTTATGGGTTTGGGGGTAACTTGGCCACACCCATGATAAGTGGACATCTGGCTAACTAAAATCATGCCAGACCACAGATGTTGTAGGACCAGAGAGTGTCAGACTAGAGACGTTCATCCTGTAGTTATAACCTCTGCTGAAATGTCATTTTCCTTCTTATCAGAACCTCCCCGCTGGATAAAGAGGCCTACAAGTGGTGTTTACAACAATGAGTCATCTGTTTTGCTATTGTGTGAAGCTGCTGGCAAGCCTGAGCCAACTATAAAGTGGAAACGTAATGGGATGCCTATTGATAGTAAGTACAGGGTACAAAATAATTTGCTCAGACAGCTGGACAAGATTAGCATGTACTGTACACTCAGCACAAAAGTTGGTGCATGGATCCAAATGCATCATATGATAGTTGATTTGTCTGGTGTAGGCAAAGCAAATACTTCATAGTGATAAGTAGGGGAGCAGAATTAAAGCAACAATAATATGGCAGTTTACTATTTAAAGCCCACAGCCAGATAGTGTATTTTTCTTATCTTTAGGAACTAGATCAGACTCCTACAATACTAGCACCCCACTGACCTACTTTGTGCCCAACACAGAGAGAAACCACAATGTGTCTGAAGAGTAGAAGCCCTCTTCTCTCCCAGGGACCCAATCTGCAGTGTGCCCCCTCCATTCTCATTCCGCACCAGTACCCAGCACACCTGTCTAAGCCCATCATACTGAACACTGGTGTAAAGAACATATAGTATTGCTGAAACTCAGAGTTTCTTAGTGGCATTGGACATTCTTTTGAATGGGAACCAGATAGTTAGAAGCTGCAGGTGCTTCTGGAAATCAGCACCTACAAATACAAATATAAGCCATGCTGTTTCCATCCAAAGTAAAATGTCTTGCATTGTACTGCAAGCCAAGCTATCCAGGACACTTATTTTACTCCATAAGAATGCTAATATGGGCAATGCTTTCCAGCAACTTTCTGGTGATCGGGGACCTGTTAGCCTGAGACTGAGTATGCAACCTGCCCTATTAGCTTGCATCTGAAATGGAAGCAGCTCAGAGATGCTCTGCGAATTTGTTAAAGTAATGAACGTTCCTCATCCTACTGACATGATTTGATTTCTTTCAGAAAGGATCTTCAAAGGCAGAGTCTCTGCTGGAGAGATCAGCATTACCAACCTACAAGTGCAGGACAGCGCAGTGTATCAGTGTGAGGCAACTAACAAGCATGGCACCATCCTTGCCACTGCTAATGTTAATGTTTTAAGTAAGTACTTCGACAACATTAGATTGTTAATGGAAAGGGTGATGCTGCTGAGGGGCCCTATCCTGCTATCCCATCATTACTTGAGAATAAATCATGGGAGTAAAAGTTTGTGTGGTTTGCCCACAGTGGTTAATGGTTTGGTTTTGCCAAAGCTGGCAATTGTTCTGTGATAATATCAGAATTCTAACATGTTCCTTGGAACTTTGCATCAGGAAAGAATTTGAAGAGTTACTGTTCATTGGGCAGTCTGATTGAAAGAGCCTTGTATCACATGTACAATATGTAACCCCCAAGGAGATTAACCAGGATCCCTGGGGCTCTGTCTGCTGGCAGCTCAGGGAGAGGCAAACTGTCCCTGGTAGGGAGGGGGAGCCAACGCAAACTCAGAGTCCCCCCCGGCAACAAATAAGGAGTGAGATGCCCCTCCCAGGAAGTTCAGGGAAGGGGAAAGGCCATTGTTTTTTTTATGAGTTAGTCTGGAGCCAGTCAGGGCAAAAGCAAGACTGGCTGTGTGGGAAGCTGGTAAGCCCCAGGCCTGCATGCAGGGTCCCCCCTGAGGACTGGCCTCTAGGGACCTGAAAGCAAGAGCCCGCTGCTGGGTTTTCTTTCCCCACTGATGATTCCCAGTTTGTAGAGTTTGTTGGGAAACTTCCCCAGCCAGGCTGAATTAGACTTCTAGCTCCCTAGGTGAGACCAATCACCACATGGTCAGCTCTGATCTTCCTGCTAGTTCAGGGCTGGCAGGACTGCTGCCTGCTGTGTGTATGTCTGGGTGCTGGGCTAGGAGACTACAGTTTGGATTTTAGTACAATTGTGTAATCTGCACGTTGAGCCCTGCACCCCTTTGTGGTGAGGGGAAATCCTGGGACTGAAGCAGCCTGATTCCTGCCTGAATAGGATCCCTGCTAGCAGAGATCAGTCCCTCTGCAGTGACTGAGGAGTCCAGAGTCATCTCTGAACCGGAGGATCATTCATGGAGTTTGTGAGTGCACCATCTTTTAGTTAGTCAGTCAGGGAATTTGTTTTGGGGACCCCCTACACCCTGAACTGTGTCCTCAAGCCAGGAAGTAAGGATTTGGGGATTTTATAACCTGCTGCATATTAAACCTGTGGAGGGATTTACCACCTTCTCCCGCTTGTGAGTCCTTTGGGAAGTACTGAACCCAGTCAGCCACACTGCTAAACCACTGCAGAGAAGAATTTTGTGGTCATAAGTAATCAAGAGCCCCAACAAAGTAAGTGTACCAAAGAGACACTAATCTTACATTTGCTACATTAAGTCACGTGACTGGGGCAAGTCACAGGTATTAGCAGCGTGGGCACCGGTGAACCTAAAAATAGTGTTTTACCCTGTTATGTTATAACTGTTTCCTGTTTAATATAATTATTGTGTTGAAATTGTATGTGTTTGTGTTATTTTTGATGTATATTGTGTTGAAATTGTATGTGTTTGTGTTATTTTTTGATGTATCCAACTATTTGGCAAGTAAGTGGGGATTACCCTGTTGTTAGAATTTGTCTCCCAAACTGCCCTGGTGACCCTGCCAGGAAGTAGGGAGGGGAGTGGAGGCACTGCCAAATAAATTCATAGGAAAAAATAAAGAAGATGCACCCTGCTGAGTGTGTGGTGGGATCCAGAAGAACCCAGACCTGTTCACCAAAACCTGTAGGCAGATTGGCATTAAAGAAGGTAATCTGGTGGAGGGGGCGCTACAAATATTTATATATTTAGTGTCATCACACCAGGGCTTGTGTGGAGACTCTATTTTAAGAATTTTGCCTAGCTCAAAGACTTCCATTAAATAAAACAATAACTGATTGCTGAGTTAGGGTTGATGGTGTAGATTGTGCCCTTAACTTTACATCATTAATCTGGAACTTCATTTTTTATTATCAGTTAGTTTGTTTAAGAAACAATCCTAGTGCTGGGAAATGATTAGTGGAATCCGTCCCCAAGGCAGTAGAGCTAGTATAGTTCCTTCACCCAGAGCTACTGGAGTAAGCCCTGAGGTGCTGCATGTCAGAGAACTAACCTCCTGTTGTCTTTCACAACAGGCTTTCTTGCTTTGTTTACATAGTGGGGGTTGAGAAGGAAGCCAAGGGCTAGTTACGTTGAAGGAGGATGGTGTAAAGAAAAGGACTAGCTATGACAAAGGAGCATGCTGTAAAGGGAGATATGGTAGTGGTTTTCTCATTAAATAGTACACCAGGCATTGATCCTCATGAGCTGGCAGCAGTACAGTAGTTGCATTAGCATCTGAGCTGCAGCTGCACCAAGCAGTGAAAGGTCAGCGGGAAGGTCCAGAGTTGGAATGATTCCTCATTGTGTAGTTCCCTCTTGTACCAGTCCAAGTACTTGAATTCAGTGGCGGAGGGGGACTGGAAAAAGGACCTGAGAAATAACATGATTAACATTCTGTTTTGCAGATATTGCTCCATTAGTGCTAACCTCAGACAGTGAAGACTATGCCACAGTTGTTGGTTACAGTGCTTTCTTGCATTGTCAAGTTTTTTCTTCCCCTCCTGCTGACATTAGTTGGTAAGCCATTTATAACAATTTGTCTGCTGCTTGTTTTAAATCACTGGTTTTATCTGAAACATGTTATTTGGCTGTAGAAACACATGAAAATCTTTCACAGTCCTCACGTTTGGAGTTAAATTTAATAACAAATAACGAATAAGATAAGATCAGTTCTGCAAGCTTGAACTAGTCTTTTATCCAAGGATCTCAAGGCACTATTTGATATAAAAATTAATAAAACCCCATACCATATGTTTAAGGAAGATCTTGTAATATCCTATAGGCTGGTAAACTGAGATAGTGTGGCTAAAGTGACTTACTTTAGAGATATTCAGTCACTCAAAACCCTGAAGTGTTATTTTTGTCCTTTTCAATAACTGCCTCATTTAAATTTTTCCTGATGTGAAAGCCTGGTTTCCAAGACTCTTGAAAATAATTGGTAACCATTATTATGCTGTTAGGTTCAGGGATGACAGCACAATGCCACTTGAAGGTCCGCAATACGGAAAATATAAAAATGGCACTTTGGAGATCAGAGAGACAAAGAAAGAAGATTCTGGGTCGTATACTTGTTGGGTGACAAATTCGGTTGGAAAAAGTGCAATCATTGCCAATCTGGGTATCAGAGGTAACTCCTCATTTTATGAATAGGCACATGAAACCTGAAACCTTGAAACCTGTTAAGGCTTTAGAGAAAATATATTCCCAAACAGAGGTGTATTCTGCTTCTTGTAATTGCCTCAAAACTTGTTACATGGCTTATGAACAGTGCTTGATTCAGAAAGACCCAGTCTAGCATCCTGTATCATGTGTGGATAATTCAGTGGACAACTATGCAAAGTTTAATGCAAGAAATGTGCAAGAATCAAGACAAGATATGCACTCTTGCATATTTTGTGCATGACCCTCACATTGTCCAGGGCACTGCAAACAAAATGACAAGAACACGAAGAAATATGGCTTAACTAGATCACAGATTTATTAAGTAATTTATCTGGGAACTATCTAGCAATCACTTGCCCAGTGCAGATCAAACTTTGTACAGTATTGTAATACATACTACCTTGGGGAGGACTTCTCTCAGTCCTTTTCCTTTTATACCAGTAACCTGGTCCCAGCAGCATTTCTGCAAACCTGCTGCCTTTTTCTCTTTTTGAGACTTGAGGGCAGGGAAATTGGGTTTTTGCTGTACCAGACATTGGGAACATTCCACCCTACTGTTCTTCCCATTTCTTTAGGAGCTGTCTAAAATAGAAAAGACTACAGTTTGACTCTGAGCCAAAGCTGATTTGCAGTGTTTATAATTAGGGGAGAAAACAAAAACAAAAAAACCCTCTTTTTTTCTGGACATGTTTGTTTAGAAATTGAGTCAATAAATGTGGGAACATGCAATAAAATGTTCATAAAGCTACTTTTCACTGTATATGATAAAATAGCTATTACTTTTGGTTACTTACTCTTCTATTTCTTCATTCAGTCTGATTTTAAAATAACAAACATCACTGTGATATTGTTCCTACTTGACTTTAATTAGCTTGTAATTTTCTCTGGGTCATTTGCCAAAGTCTATTTGAAATAGCATTGAACATAAAAATCATAGTCAGGTTTTTCTATCTCATTTATTTTGTCATATACTGTCACAGACCGTTAGCTAGGATATTCACCTGTGATATTTTCCTATAAATTTGTGATTGGTTGTATGAGCCTCTTTCATATGAACTGAACTCAAAGGAAGATGCTTTTATTGCTAGCAAAACTTCAAATAAAAAATATGTCTCCTTATTTTGACTATAGAAAAACTATGATTATTTTCTGCATTCAAATTGCTTGGCGAACATGCATATTACTAATCAAAATACCTTTCTGTGAACAACCAGATGCTACAAAACTTATCGTTACTCCTGAGAACCCTCACATTTTGAAATCACATTCAGTTTTATTGAAATGTCAGTCTGAATATGATGCACACTTGAAACAAAGTTTAAAATTATCCTGGAAGAAGGATGGAGATGAGTTTCAAATCAATGGCACAGAAGATGGCAGGTAACCTTATGGGGGAAAAAGCCTCTCCTTCTTTTGACTCTGAAGCAATATTGTATTACATGTAGCATGGTTAACTTCGTGTCCTAGATCTATGATTTCTTCATAACTTTAAGCCAAATCTGTGGCTATCACAGCTGTTCATGCAGCACATTTTTTGTGGACGCAACAGTGTTCTTTCAAATATTTTAAAACTTTGATTTTTTTAAATCAAGCCTTGGTCTACACTAGGGAGTTATTTCAAAATAACTCCCCTAATTCTGAAATAACAAGCAGAGTGTCCACATTACAAAATGTATTATTTCGAAATCTGTACTCCTGCTTTCCATGAGGAATAACACGTATTTTGAAATAGTTGTTTCAAAAGAGTGGTAGTGTGGATGCTCCACTGTTGCTATTTCAAACTAACTATTCCCCAGAGTCATTCAAAATAATTACTGCCCAGTGCTTCTTGGAACTCTAAGTCATGGTAGTGCCTCCAAATTAATGGAGCCTGCCTCGGACTAATTTCAAGGCTTCCCTGTGTTGTGGACATGGTATTTCAAAACACCTTATTTTGGAAGTAATAACTTCCAAAATAACTATTTTGAAATAATTTCCTAGTGTAGGACATGCCTCAAGATACCTAGCTAGGTTCATATTGACTTGCTATCCTGTAGTGCTCTATATGTCTCATTTAGCAGGTATGATGCACAGAGAAGTACCAAACTTAGGTGGCTGCACTTAATCTAAACGTGAAATGCTGCTCCACTGAAGCCACTGGGTGTTTTGTCATTCACATCAGGGGAGCCAGCCTTTCACACTTGGATTAGCAATAGCTAGACACTTTAGTTTAAATAGTATATGTTAAAACCAGTGTGTTTTAAGTGATGGTGTTCTAAGCATATGAGTGAGTCAAATGAGGGCTTAACTATGTTTCATGGAGACATTGAATTTGAATTTTGCCATTGAATTTGATAGGACAGGGATCAGGCCCTGAATCCTTGTTAAGTGTTTGGAATGGACAATTCCTGAGGATTAAATTCCTTTTATTTTTAAGTTACAGAAGAGGTACACGCTTCCTCTTCCCCACATCCTATCACTGCCTTGCAGGTCATAACATGAGTATGCACATGCATAAAAGACTGAGGAGGGCCAGATTCTTATTGAGCAGCATAGTTCTATGAAGCCATGACATTTATCCCAGCTGATGAGCTAACGTTCAAGCTTTAAATTGCTACAAATGACGATATTTTAAAGTACAGTATATAATGTATACAGTACAGTATATAATGTCTGCATCAAAGATATAATTTTAAGTAACAGACATATCCTACCACTGCATTCTTCCAAGTGCCACTGTTACAACAGCATGCACGAACAGGTCTTCAGGGGGAAAAAAGCCTGTCAATATTATTCTTCCCTTCCAATTCTGTCTCTCATGATTATGCAATTTCTGTTTTGTCCCGAAGGATAATTATTGAAACGGATACATTGTTCATATCAAGCGTGACATTAGAGGATCAGGGCACTTACACCTGTGTGGCTAGTACATCTCTGGACAGTGTCACAGCTGAATCCCAATTAATTGTCCTTGGTAAGTCATTTTTTCCCCTAGCTTTGCAGAAAAAGTTAAACAGTGTTGTGATTCAGACCAGGGTTCCTACACACTGAGTTCACATCAAGCCACGCATCAGTGACCTGATTATCAGAGATGGAGAGCACCTGCCACATGTATTAGCTTTGGTTAGGATTATGCTTCCTCCACACCTCTGGAAAGTGGGCTCCCAAACCTAATATTCTGATACAATAATGCACACAATCATGTCCTTGTTGAGAGAGCCAAGATCTGGCAGTGCCATCCATAATTTTCTCTTGTGAAAGTGGCAGTCGCACCAGCCGAAGGAGCTCCTGAACCCTGGAGGCTCTAATAGCATAGAGCTCTCCAGCATATGGCCTAGCCACTTAGACTATCTCATGGAGCAGTGCAGTCCTACAGTGGGCAACCTATGAAGTCTTACAAATTTGTACTAAGATCAATACATAAATATACCTTGCTATTTGAATGAACCCAAGGCAGCCCTGCAGTTAGGATTGGGAATACTTTTCTTGCAAAAATAGTGAGGCAGTTTTGTTATCTAAAGTCCAAGGTACTTCTATGTTCCCCACTACAATAGTAACTGAACTTGAAATCTTTAATGTAGTTATCCTCACAAAACCCTCTGCAAAGTACGGAAGTACTATTATCTATGTACTGCAGGTTGAACCTCCCAAGTCTGGCACCCTCAGAACCTGACCAGTGCCGAACCAGAGAATTTGCTAGACCATGGGAGGTCAGTATTGTCTAGCAGCATTGCCAACACTTCCACTACTTACTAGGCTCTTAGAAGACATTTAGAGGTAAATTAGAGCTAAATAACAGCACAGAATGCTGGAAGCTAAGACTGGTGGCTTTAAACAAACTTTATGGAACCAGGGGGAAACTTGACCACACTCACGATAAGTGGATATCTGGCTAATTCAAATCACGCTGTAGCAGAGAGTGCTGGATTAGAGAGGTTCAACCTATAGTCAGTTACTAAAGGCTATTGTTTTATTTGCTATGGCAAATAGAATCTTTTAGTTTATACATTTGAGATGCATGCTTGAAGAGCCTGAAGTCCCAGGTTCAGTCCTTGCATTTGACAACTTTAGGCTTTTTCGCCTGCAGCAGACTTATCATTCTCTAGAAATGTCTAGACTACATGCCTCTGGTGACAGAGGCATGTAGATTAGGCTATCTGGCATAGGAAAATGAAGCGGTGATTTAAATAATCGCCACTTCATTTAAATTTAAATGGCTGCCGCGCTGAGCCGATCAGCTGTTTGTCGGCTCAGCGCGCTAGTCTGGACGCTCTGCGGTCGACATCAAAGGCATTTGTTGACCACCCCAGTAAACCTCATCCCATGAGGCATAACGGGACGGTCAACAAATGCCTTTGATGTCGACTGCGGAGCATCCAGACTAGCGCGCTGAGCCGACAAACAGCTGATCGGCTCAGCGTGGCAGCCATTTAAATTTAAATGAAGCGGCAATTATTTAAATCGCCACTTCATTTTCCTATGCCAGGTAGCCTAATCTACATGCCTCTGTCGCCAGAGGCTTATAGTCTAGACATACCCTATACATGACACAGCCACCACTAGAAGGACAGAGCAGCATATGGAATGGCTACAGTTCCGGCCCCTCCCATTTTACAGAACAGGAACCAGAGGCTTGTTTACACGTCAAGTGCTGCAGTAGCACAATATATGCCAACTGGAGTGGTTCTCTCACATCAGTGTAATTAATTCACCTCCTGAGAGATGATTGATGATGTGGGTTTTTCAACCCAAGTTCTTCATGTCACCCAGGCCTAAGGCATGGAAAGAATAAATTATTTGCCCAGTGTCCTTGATGAGAGAGCCAAGATCTGGCACTGCCCAGTGTCATACAGGAAGCTAGTGGCAGAGCTGAGCCTTGAAACCCAGTTCACCCAAGTCCTACACTGGCACAGTAACCATAGGACCAGCCGCCTTTTCTTCTGACCCTGCTATGGACTGCATGCTGCTCCGCCCATGTGAAGACTTGTTGAAGTCTTGGGTAGGTGAACTGGTGCATGGACATACAATCCATTGCAGAATCCAAGCCTAAGTAGCTATCTAACGGTACGCCTACACTTGCACCCTAGTTAAACTAATAACTCATCAGACCACTTGAAATTAGGGCTCCTTTTAATAATTTCCCTTGTGCCTTTACATCAAGAAACACATTGATGGGGGATTCATATGTATTGTTCAGAGATCTACTGCTCAGTCTGCTCATAACGAACTAACATTACTCCTCAAAAAAAAAATGATTTTCTTTTCTTTTTTTTTAGGGGGGGGGAGCAGCAGAGCACAGAGCTGCTTCCTTCCCCCACAAGCCAGATCCAGCCCATGAGGCTCTTCCCCAACCCCGCAGCGGACCACACTTTGAGAATCACTGTGCTAGGAGAGTATCAGAGGGGTAGCCGTGTAAGTCTGAATCTGCAAAAGCGGCGAGGAGCCCTCGTGAAATGAGGAGTAACGGTAGTTCGAACTAGGAAGCCTGGTTCGAACTACCTAGTTCGTGCCCCGTGTAGCCGCGCTGCACAGGGTTCGAACAAGCGGGGTTTTAAAAATGGCGACGCCCCGCTTATGCAAATGAAGCCCGGGAAATTCAAATCCCGGGCTTCATTTGCAAGTGCGGTATGCCTACATTACCCTGCTAGTTCGAACTAGCGGGGTAGTGTAGACATGCCCTCGGTGATTGGAATAGCACGCAGGCGAGATTATGCTAACGAAGTGTGGAATATTTAAATCCCCGCTTCATTAGCAATTTTGGTCACCTACATTTGCATCCCTATCTCAAGATAGGGAGCAAGTGTAGATTTACTCTAAAGGAACTGGATATTAACAGGAATGTTATTTTAAGGGCAATTTTTTGTTTAAATTACATCAATTTATTTTCTTGGCAGAGGGTGTAACAGGATTTGAATTACACAGTAGTATACAAGCACAAAACTGTAAATAAATGGCATGTCATACTGTTAATTTGCTTTCTATTGAAAACCAATATTTATCATTAATGCATGAAGTAATTGTAAAATCATGCAGATGAGTGATATCTGTTGACTATTTGTTACACGACATATGAAAATTGCATGAAGGGCTATATTCCCTTTCTGAAGTTGGACTACTTAGGGGCAAAAAATAGTCACAATCGTTGTTTGTTTGTTTGTTTTTATTATGATATATATAAAAATCCCGAGGGGATTAAAAAAAACCAATCTGTGTTTTTTCAAACTAAAAATTCAAGCCTTTTCTGTTTTTTAAATCTCTATAGTGACTAGACAATTAACTTCACTAAAAGCAAAGTACCACAATTTGAGCTGGAAGGAATTTTTATTTGGACTGTTTAAAACTCTGGTTTTGTTAACACCCTTCAATGACTAATGGACATACTGGAGAATATCTCTGTTAAAAATAGAAGACCACTATCTCACCAAATAAGATCTGAGAACTCGCAATGAATGTTCTCTGAGACTCTGAGTATCACTAGCAAAACTTAGAGAGACCATACTGGGTATTTCTTATTTCAAATGGATAATACAAGTGGGGAAAAGTGAAGGGCTGGTGTGTGGTGAAGAATCTTTCTTGCATTCTTTACATATTATAAACATGATAAGAAGGCTCGGCCTCATTTAAAAAAAAAAATCCCATGCCGTCACCTATATAGTATTTTAAAAAAATGGAGTGTCACTCCTAGTTTTAGACAGTTATCCAGGTAACTTGATTGAGACACAAGAAGGTCAAAGACAGGGCTCAAGTAACTTGTTTAATTACTATGTCACATTGCCATAGATTAGAGTAATGATGGAATCATTTCTACTTTGAGGTTTAAAAAATATTTTTATAATGAACATAGTTTTTAATAGGAATTTTTGGGATTTCTTTGGTGGGGTTTTTGTTTGTATTTAGATGTTAATTGAAACAAACATACTCTACTACAGTACTGTTATGAAAAAACTGTTCTTTTTCCTCAAGTCATATACATATAATAAAATGAATGGCAAAATTGACTAAACAAGTCTCAATAACTGATAAAGATAATCATCAGTCAGTTAGAATGAACCTGTATTAAAAGCATTCACTATATATTTTTTCACAAATACATGCTATCCCAAACCGTAGATCATTTTTATTGCATCTTATACATTTGTTGAGAAACGTAGGTTGTTCTGCAAAAATGTCTGTCCTCCCATGGTATTTTCCTGCTCTCCTGCTGGTTAATCCAACTCAGTCTGTGCTGTATTAAAACTTTACAAGTCAGATTATGAGCTCCTGTATGTCAGAAAATCAGCTCTGGCACAGATGGAGTTGTAAGTGGAGTTGGAATAACCGCTGAGTGCTTAAAAGTCATCTCCATTGTCCATGGAGGAGAGATGTAGCCAGGTCGTTACTTCACACCCACCACCAAGGCATTTAAGCACCCAGTTGCCTTTTGTCCTGACTTGTGGACAGATAATGAATTGAGAAGGTGGGTGATGAACTTCCTTCTCCCCTCACATAGTACAGGGTTGGATGGGGACTTCACAAGGGATCGTTCTCCTCCCACTAACATGGTAGGGGTGTAGGTTTAATATCTGCTGAAGTTCATTCTTCTTCCCCCATCACTGTGATTTGGATCACAGTAAATCCAAGCTTTCTGTTAAACACAGCTCTGAGACTTACTCATTGTGATATAGACTTTATATTGATTGTGAAAAAAGAAATTTATTGCACTGGTTACTATGCTAAGAGTACATAGAAATTTCCCTCACAATTAATACAGCAATTATAAGGGAGACCAGAAAATCAGAGGATCCACTTTGTGGAAGTTTTACCAAAGCCTTCAGTTGGAGCATTTAGGCCAATGCACAGCACTTTTGAAATCTTACCCTACATACAAGTCACCATCTTTCTGCTATTTCCTTTTGTTCTCAGATGTTCCTGACCCACCTGAAGATTTACTTCTCTCAGAAAAACAAAACAGAAGTGTTAGATTATCCTGGAGAGCAGGAAGCAGTCACAACAGTCCCATTTATGGTATGAAGGACTCTAGTGACATGTTTGAGCATTACAATGCGTCATTTCTATTAGAATAAGCAAATAGGCATAGACATACCTAATTGGTTTTATTTTTGAAACAACTTTGTCATAAATTTGTTCTGCGCTTGACATTGAATTTATAGGGGCTTTAATTTAGAGAGATGCTTTTCATATTATTTCTCTCATTTTTATTTTTCTCTTTCCAGAGTCCATCGTAGAATTTGAAATGAATCGTTGGGAGCCTGGGAAGTGGCGGGAACTCACAAGAATCCCAGGGAACAACACAACTGTTGTTTTATCATTGGCCCCTTATATAAATTACCAGTTCCGTGTTATATCCGTTAATGGTGTTGGAAGAAGCAAGGCTAGCGCACCATCAGCACACTACGAAACTCCTCCCACTGGTACATGCTGTCATCTTGGTTCTCTGTCTATTTTCTAGAATAACATTCAATCAGCTTTGTTCCATGAGGATTTCTATCAGCCCATTTTAGTGATCAAGTGATCAGGACCAGATTTTCATACCTTTGCAAACACCGAGCAATAGCTATTCCATGATTCATCCCAGTGAAGCCAAATGGGGCTCTCTGAAGTTGTGCTCTATTATCTCTGAAACAGAGACACCGGAGCGCTGAGCCACACCAGCCAGAAAGGCTGGTAGCCTGCAAAGGGGAGCATATGTCACATATTTGCCAAGTCTGGCACAGCAGCAGTGCTCTGCTGCATCTCCTGAAGCTCTGGAGGAAAGCAAACTAAGTCTGACACCATGCTTCTGGGGCTACAGCTGGTTCTGTTCCTCAAAGCCCTTTCATATACAAGCAGTTGCTAGATAGGGTCTTTAGCAAGATTTATAGTGAGCTTCCCAGCAGCTCTGAACTTGTCACAAATCTTCATTCACAACACAGTTCTCATTGGAACACAAAATGACTGGTTCCTGAAAGTATTGCATAGCCCAGCTATTCAGCATTGTATAATTTGCATTGCCTTAGCTTTATTTTTGCTTTAGCTTTTTTTCTTTTTTTTTTTACTTGTCTGAGCTTCTTCCAAAGCTTTTCAGCTCTGCATCATACACAAATGATGCACTTTCTGTTTTTCCATCTCCAACAGGGAAAATGTCTCTTCAGAATAATACCCCTACATCTGCTGCTCTGAAATCCAAAAAAGTCAGTTTAGAGATATCTACTAAAATTAACCAGCAAGGCTGCTCAAGATCAAATCATGTAAACTACATATTTGTTCACTAACACTCTGTTGTGCCAAGTAATTATGTTTAGTCAAGTGGTCTTTGCTTACATGTTGATTAGTTGCGCAAAGTCAAATCATTTCAAGAAAGGAAATTAACCTAGCACTTTTCACACCTACCTGGTTGTTTTGTGAAGATGTAGGACATTCAGGAGAGGGGGGAAAGATGAGATTAATAAAGGAGAGAGGATGTAAACTAACTGTATTCCTTCTACTGTTCTAGCTCCAGACAAGAACCCAGATAACATCCGAGTTGAAGCTTCTGAACCAAATGAAATGGTTATGAAATGGGAGGTAATTTAAAAAGTTCCTATCATTGATACAGTATGTGAAATGGTTTCTCCTTTCAAGCTGAAGATCCTGAAGCATTACTGACGTTATTAGGATCATGTTAAGAAAGTACCTATATTTTCAATATGGATTTCATGAGTTTCTTCTTGCTCTCTCTTTCCATAGTTAGTGAACTCCATGGGTGAAATCCAAGGGCCATGTCAAAGGCAAAGTTCCTATTCACTTCAATGTGGCAAGGATTTCTTTCCTTGATTTACTGTTCAAAAATGTATTTTTGACACCTATGTCACAAATGCTGTGGAAAAATGTAAGAAGGCCTGTATTACATGAATGTATAGTGGAGAGAATACATCCCAAATACAAGGGCAGGAGAAGGTCATTAGTGCATGTGTTAGAGAAATCTGTTAAAGTACTGAGGACAGAATTCCAGCCTTCAGATTTCTAGACGGTTTGTAATTTATATGCCAATTTATCTTGAGAGGGATATAGTTTTTCTTTAATTCAACCCAAGTTTTAATAATTGTAAAAGTAATGTTGTGTAATTGGAGTAAAACACATTTTACATTGTATGTGGAAAGATTATTTTCCACTCTGGTTCTAGCAAAAAAGATTTTTGCAATCTGAATTTTCATTTTAGGTTGGATGTAGCCTAGAATTGAAGCCTCTATTGACTATTACTTTATTGTGAAACGTCATTCTACAAAATATTCCATAGTCAGTGAGCACAATTCTATTTTTATAAGAGGTTACATAGAGGTAGCTACCAACACAGACAGCATGGCTGCGTCTACACTGGGCCACTTATTCCAGAAAATCAGCCGCATTTCCGGAATAAGCTGCGAGCTGTCTACACTGGCCCTTGAATTTCCGGAAAAGCAACGATGCTCTACTGTACAAAATCAGCCACTATTCCGGAAAAACTATTCTGCTCCCGCTCGGGCATAAATCCTTATTCCAGAACACTGCCTGCCAATGTAGACGCTCCTTTTCCGGAAAAACTGAAAACGGAATAGTATTCTGTTTTAAGCATTTCCGGAAATTCTTGCCAATGTAGACACAGCCCATATGTTGCTGTTAATTATTTTTACTGCTAGCTAAACTTAATCTCTGCCCCAAAAATCTCACAATCTACAATTCAGTTGTAGCACAACAATAAAAAGGTGAGAATAGAGTGTGATTGGATATGTTTACATAAATATGAACATACAGGGGATTCTAAAGGTTCATTTAGACTATTTTGTGAATGCACAGTTTATTTAGTTTGCTTGTAGGCTTTACAGTAGATTTCCTATACCTTCTACATACTAAATGCTTTATTTCTAGCAGACAATGACCAAGGAGATACACATACTGATTCTGAAAAATGATGTTAATCTGCCTAGTTTGGATTAACAAATCAGATGAGCATTAGCAATAGGATTTTCAGCCAAGGCTTTGCAGCATTAAGAAGATTAAAATAATAGTTGAGTGGGTCTGAGATTTAACCCTAAAGTGGAATTTATTTTGCAGTAGTAATTTTCTTTATGTTGTGTTATTACATGATTAATTTTCAAAATTTTGTTCAGGTTTCATTTAGGAAATGTACGTAATACAGGCCCAGTGGGTGGCCAGAGCACCTCCCCTATCCAGCCTGAGAAATATTTTAACAAAGTTATTTAATCAGGCTCATGCAGCTGCTAGCCAAGGGGTGAGGGCAGGGAGAAAAGGGTGGCACACAAGAGTTCACCCTCACACAGAGCTCCCAGCAATACACTGGCCCCTGGTGCCCACATTATCCCAGTCACAGAGGGTGCTGCTTAGTCCAGGAAGTTGCGCTAGCTGCCTGTGCCAAGATGCAAACCACACTGGCCAGGGAGCTACCCAAACTGACACTCTTCTGCAGGCAGAAGAGCAGGACTGGTAGGTTTCATTTTTAGATTCCCCAGGCAGAGATGGGAGATCCCAGCATGAGGCCATGCAGTTAGTGGGGGGAGGAAGTGTGGATGTTAGTGGGGGATTCCAGTGTGGGACTAGGGATGGGTTTTTATTTTATTTTTTCGTAAATGTGTAACTGCTGAAATTTTCATCTGTTACATTTTTACATGCAGGGGGGAGTCGGCTCCGTGGGAGCCGGTGAGTTTGGGGAACCGACTTTTAAGTCAGCTCCTTATGGGCACCAGCTCCTATGGAGCTATCTACCTCCTCTTCCCCCGTGCTGCCGCCTGTGATACCGCAGCTCAGGGTGGGAGGAGGGCCTTGTGTGTAACCTTGAGTTAACTGATGAGCCTGTGCACACTATCACATCCCTTGTGAGGTTATGAGGGGGTCAGAGTGTGGACTCAGTTTCATGTATCTGTCTGGACTCCTGGATATAGGGGGGAACACTATTAACTTGCAACTACTATATTGCCAAACCGAAGCATTAAAAATTCATAAATCAGCCTCCTTCCCCAACTTCCCAATAAGAGACTAGCATCTTAAAACCATAGATAAAAATAGTCTTGGGGATCTTTTTATTTGGCAGGTAGTGTTTGAGGTCTTCCTCTGAACTTGGGACAGGTTTTCTAGCATTTCTCCATAAACCATGAGATCTAAAGTCTTCCTTGAATATTTTAGTCTTCCTGTTAGTCTTAATATTAGTCTTCTTTTTTTAAAAAAAGAAAAAGGCTGAGATTTTCTTCTGATACCAGATGCCAACAAAAAAGCATAATAATATACTAAGTCAGAGTGATACTAAGTGATACTAATATACTAAGTCATAGTTGATAGCAGTGCATGAGGCATCAGACAGTGAAGTTCCCCAATCTGGCTTATTTCTAATAACGTGGCTAGGGCTTTCTACGGAAAACAAAAATGAAACCAATTATCAGGAATCTTGTAATCAGATCAGGAGAGTTGGCATCACTGATATCTAGTCAGATGCACAAAATGAGTTAATAGTTTCACAGCTTACACCTATGGACCAGACAGTATTACATATGCTTCCCCCAGGCCACAGGGCTATGCTGGCAGTGGCAAGGAGCTGGTAGCAGGAACCCACGCTTGCACTGCTGCACTGTCGGTGGTAGCAGCTCGGGCACCTGGTGGCTTTTAAACTGCCTGGGGGTGGCAGGAGGGACTGTGAGAAGCATGGGGAGAAAATTTATGGAGCCCCTTCTCCTCGGAGCCATGCCAGAGGGCGGTACCCATTGGCCTGCTAGTAGGATTTGGGGACTGAGCTGACCCTAAGGTCAGCTGAGTTTGAGACCCCTGATTATTAATTCAGGTAATTAAATAGTTATCCTAATTAAATCAATTTAAGATATAATCCAGCAAAATCCTTAAATATAGAGTTCACATGATTTATTGGATTAGAGCTATAGGGGTTTTTATGTTTATGTGTTAAAAAAATACGATGCTTGAATTATTAATATTTTGTTGCTTATATACATTACAATTAAATTCTAAAAATAGTTTATAAAAATATATTGTTAAAATCAAGATCTAGGCAAAATTGTTTTACATGCAACTCCTTTTTGACAAAAAATGCAAATTTTTGTCACACTGAAACATTCATGAGTTCCATGAATTTAGCCAAATTGTTTTGGTTGAATAGATAACTTTAAAAGAATCTTGAAAAAAATATAAATGTTTTTATTTGAATTTTCAAAAAAAAACATTTTGATGTTTAGGTCAGAATGAATTTTCCTCTCAAAAACATTTTAAAATATTTTAATTGAATTACATTTTTTGTTTAATTTCAAATTATTTTTTAATTTTTTTACCTAATTTGCCTCAAAAATTCAAAAAGGAAATTATAATTGGTGATCAGTCCAGCAGTCATCAGCACTTGTCATTGCTTTTGTAAGAAGGATGTCACTATGATCTCGAGCACGAACTGTGACATAGTTGAGAAGATAGCTGTGCTTTGAATGTGGGTGTCTCCAAGATGTTTTGAACTTGTCCTTTTGTCAAAAAAGGGTGTGTGTGATAAGTTCATGTTCAGCACACTTGGTCAGAAGCAGGATTCCATTTGAGTTGCTCCTTCTTTCTCTGCGTCTCATCCAATGCATACATTGAAATCCCCCAAAAGAATGATCTTATCTTCTTTAGGTGTCTCCGATAAAATGGTTTGCAGATGAGAGTAGAAATCTTCCTTTTACATCCTCATCAGTGTCCATTGTTGGCACATAGGTGCTCACAATAGTTACCTGTTGGTTTTTGTTGAGCATCAATTGGAGTGTCATAAGCAGCTCATTGATGCTTACTGGCAGTTCAGAGAGGCACCTTATGACCTTGTTCTTAATAGCAAAGCCTACTCCATACAATTGAGGTTTATCTAAAGATTTTCCCCTCCAGAAGTGAATCCTCCTTTCTCCTCCCTCACCTGTCCTTCATCAGCTCTTTTAGTTTCAAACAAATCAGCAATATCAATGTTAAACCCATTCAGTTCACAAGTAATGATAGCTGTATGTCACTCTGGTCGGTCACTGTCTGAGTTGTCCATCAGACAGTACATTCCAGGTTCCAAAGTTTGAAAAGTTTCTTATGTTTTCAACCACTGGGCTGGTGATCCTGCTATATGTGGCTATCCAGCCAGGAGGAAGAGAGGGCAAGACTATTTTTAGGGCACTTTTTCATGTGGGGCAAGAAGAGTGGGCCCTAAAGAGGACTGCTCAGTCATGGGTGGAGCAGCTGAGATTCTGGACCTGCCTCAGTCCTCGAGCAAGATGACTGAATCACATACCCACCGGCTGTGTGTCGGTCTGTAACTAGGAACTTCCAGAACTCATTGTCCTGTTCCTGTCACCACTTGCTGATCACCACCAGACTTCTGACTTGCGTAGGTGTTGTTTTCCCCAAAACTGGAAGATACCTGTATGGGACTCCTTTTAAAGTGGGGAGACTGGTGAACAACAGACACCACAGGGTCCTTGACAGATAGAGGGCTTGTAACCAATGGCATGGACACCACAACGATTGGAGATCCTCTATCTGCTGCAGCCTACATCTGCCTTGACAGCCACAGTAATGTTATACAACAGTTTCAATTCCATTGTGCAGTTGTCCTCCATCTAATCTGCTTTTGAGGTCTTTTTGCATCACACGTTGTCTGGAACCTTATCCTTGACCATTCTGTCATCAGTGATCCTAAGGGAGTACATGACTCCAAGCAGCATTCCTCTCAGGGATCATTGGAACACCCAAGCCTCTCCACCACTACAAGATGATGATCCATGGAGAGGTTTATCACTATAATCAGGGTATAAATCAGTGCTTCCATTACAATTGTCTGGAATGGGAAAGGAATCCTGGGTGTGGTTATGTAAATACCGTTCACTCCATTTGTTTAGGCCTGCTATATATTCAACTGTTAGAATGGTGTTTTGCCCATTGTTACCAATTTGGCTGTTGTAGGGTGACAAACTGCTAACACTAAATGCAGGAATTGTAAGATATGCCCACCAACGCTTTCAGGTATTGGGGAATACAGAAAAGTCAGACTGTGTGTATCTCAGTTCAAAGGAGAGAAACTGTCAGTGTAAAGAATCTCGGCTGAAAAGGCTTCCTCTGCCAGAACTCTGGAATTGACCTGGCGGTGTAGAACTTTGAATCAGCAGGCTGCAAGTCCTTCAGACATGAGGTGCGAGACTGGTTCAGCTTGTTTCTCATCCCCCCACACACATACCATTCTAATGATAGATATTATTTTTAAAGTTATTCCAGTGGATGGTGGATTTTTTTTGGGGGGTGGGGGCTGCATTGTACTTTGGGACAAGAGCTGAAATCACTGAGAAGCTGAATCACAGAGAACTAAAATCACTAGGTTTGGCCTAAAGCCAAATCCACCACAAGCCAGTAGAAGATGCGACAAGCAGCATGAACAGCCAACAGGGTAGCAATGGAGAGGCAGCAGTGAGGGGTGACTGATGGAGAGGTTTGAGGAGCAGCTAGCAGAGCAGCGGCAGCGAGAGGTGACAAATGGCCAGCAGAACAGCACCAAAAAGCAGTGAACAGATGGATGCCAAGTGACCTTCCTTCCCTCAAGATGGGAGGTGAACTCTGCAGATCACCTCTGAACTCTGGTCTGCCCTAACCAAGGACAATGACTGTGAGTGGGCACATGAAGGGGACATTTACATTTCTGGACTTGAGAGCCTGAAAGGCAAAGGACATTGCCCAACCTAATTGCGCTGCTACATTTACTCGTGGTTTTGGTTATGAACTTTATTTCTGGTGTTTTCCCAAATTAATGTCATGTTACTTCTCTCCCCTTTTATTAAAAGTTCCTTTTCCACACTCAGGCTCTATGCTTGCAAGTGGGGAAGCATTGTCTCCCAGAAGTGCCCAGAGGTGTGTGAATTTCCCAGGTTACTGGGTGGGGAGCTTGAGCCAGTTCAGTGTTGGAAGGATGAAGAGGAACACCTAGATATTGAACCCAGTCTTGGCTGCTGCTGATGCTACCTGGCAGAAGGGTTACATCACTAAGAGCTTCCTTAACCAAGCAGGGGGATAAAGAGTATACCAGTTTCCTATTAAGTTTCCAGATCTAATTGGGTGGAGAGTGTGTGTGAGGGGGGTCTAATGGTTGTGCACACTTATGGTTTGTACAGGATAATCTAAATTTTAAGGACCCAACTTGCTGTGCCACATAAATATTTGGCATAATTTGAACTTTACTTTTAATGAAGATTACATATTTTTGGTACCATAAAACTGGAGAAAAAAACTTGGTGACTGCATTCTATACTGTGCTTTAATAATTAACCTGTTAAAAATCTAGCTCTCATTCCCCCGTGCTGTTTTAAGAACCCTAGCATTTTTCTATCCTAAAAGCAATATGGTAGAGAAGATTTTTTTTCTTTCTAAATAATGTTGATACCGCTTCAAAATTATTCCCTGCGGAAGCTGCCTTGTATGATTTTAGCAACAAAGGCAGCTTAGTATATTTTTTACATCTTTTTGTAGCCATTGAAACCCATGGAGCAAAATGGACCAGGACTGGAGTACAAAGTCAGCTGGCGACAGCAGGGAGTAGAAACAGATTGGAATGAGGAAACTGTGAAAAAACATTCTTTGACATTGAGGAATACTCCCACATTTGTGCCTTATGATATCAAAGTCCAAGCAGTAAACAATTTTGGATCTGGTCCTGAACCTAATGTGACCACTGGTTATTCAGGAGAGGACAGTAAGTAACTTAAACATTTTTGTAAAAGTATATATTGTAGATGATTCTCACATTGCAATATAAGTGGATAATAAGTTTTATTAGACCAGCTTGTAATGAAAAATGCTTAAATGTCACATTGATCAGCATGTTGGAATACTAAAAGGAACAAGTTTTCTTTGTTAGTTTCCTTACTATTGAGGTCTTCAATTTCACAAAGTTTAGCTATCCTTACAAAAACAAGTTTGCTTGAGTTGTGCACCTAATGATGGCCCCAATCCAACACATGTTTAATATTAAGTATTTTAATGGTCCCATTAAAATCAGAAGGATTATCTACATGCTTAAAATTATGCACTTTCCTGGACTGGGTCCTAACCCATTCACCTCTATCTGTAGGGAGTAAAATATCCTACAGGTAGGTGTAGGGATGTTAAGTTTTGATTAATCAGCTAATCAAGTAGTCAATGGAATTTCTATTGAGTACTCGGTTAGTCGATAAGGAGTGGGGCAGGGAACTGATTATCCCGGCTGTGCCTCTGCCTTTTAAATGTAGTAAGAGCTGCCTGTGGCTCTTACTTCATTTAAAAGGCAGAGGTGGCACAGCGGAGAACCCCAGATGAGTGGGGACTGCTTGAGTCCCTGATCGCCATGGATTCCCTGCTGCTACCTCTACCTTTTTAATGTAGCAAGATCCCCCCGGGAACCTGGAGTGAACAGGGACTCAAGCAGTCCCCGCTCATGCTGTTTCCCATTGCACCTCTGCCTCCCTTGCTACCAGCTCCCTCCCATGGAGATGGTGTTTTTAAGCTGTCTCACCCCAATACTGGCTCCTGCTCCCCCCCCTCTTGCTGCCTCTGATACAGAGCCAGCATGGGTGGGTGGAAACAACTAGTCAACTCTACTACCCAATAAACCAATTCTTATTGGGTAGTTGACTGGTCGCTTATATCCCTAGATAGGTGCACATATTCAGTTAGTAGGTATTTTACAATTGCATTTTACAATGAAAACAGAAAACATATATCATACAGCCATTGCATGCCGAAAAAGAATGCAGAATGTTGCAAAAAAAGAAGTGATGCGTGCCCCTTCCATGCACCCAACAAATGCAGGGTATCCAAAAGGGGCAAAAAAGAGGATGGGTCTGGTTTCTTGATGCCCATTTACATGATGAACCAGCCACACAAGGGAACACAGGTGTCACTATCATGAAGGCTCTCCTCTGAATACTGAAGAATGTATCAGCACTAGATCTGTTGCGTTTACCAAGTAATATCAGAGTCTTGCATGGGCAGAAAGCATCTTAGTATATTTTAACATTACATATTTTAAGCATAGTTTTGTCCATGATACTGACACGGCTATCCATTGTGTATTGTGCTAGGAATAGCGTACTTTCTCATGAAATGACCTTCACAATCATCTCTTTCAAACTGGATCCATTTGTGCCGCTCTTAATATGTATGCTTCACAGCCACCCCAAATTTCACTCAGTATTATTGCTTTTGATAGAAACTCCACTTACTAGACACACATTCTAATTCTGTAAGTGCTAGTTTGATCTTTCAAATAACTGCGGATCTCATGGTGTTCCTGTCATAATTGGAGGCCACTTCTCAAAGTGAGGCATCACTTTCCGGTGTCCAAACTGCATCGTTCTTTCTTCTTAAATGACTGCCTTGATATAAGCATTGTGTGCTCGTATCATAAATCTCTGTTCATAGATTTTAAGCCCTCAAGGAACTTGTTTGCCCCAGTTTCTTACATAATCATGTTTGCTATTCCTTTTGTAATATGAGCATCAGTCTGTGATACTAGCAATCTACCTGTACCTGCCAATTTCTCACACCATAGTGCTTGTTAGTAATCATGTTCCTCCAGTGAGCATTTAATGCAAAAGTGACAGCACTAATGCTGCATCACAGCTGATGGAGTTAATACAAACATGCTTCTGGCTACTATATGATTGGGAAATCCCTTCCAATTCCTCTTAACACTATGTGATTTTTTTTCTCTCCCATGTTGTTTAAAAAGACACGGGAGGATTGTATAATCCCCAGATGCAATGATGACAAACCAAGATTTTCTGCAGTGGGCAACCCAGTTAAGCAACATCAGCAAATCTTTTTAGGATTTAGGGATTTAAATCAATGAGGGTTTTATGTCCCTCTGGGGTCTCGTATTTTAAATTTTTATATATATATATGTATTTTGTTTAAAACATTTTGTAAGTCGCCTCAAATATTTTAAATAGTGAGGCGGGCTAAAAACATTCAAATAAATAAATAAATACCAGTGTAACCAGCTAGCATGGGGAGCCAAGATTCCCTGATACAAATGACAAATGTCCAATGCATTAGTCATTAGCAGCAGGGCTGAGGACAGCTCACAAGCCAGGGTCAGAAGTGTCTACAAATTGTACATCTTTCAGATTTTGCAGATTAACCTTATTATGTAAAGTCAGGCAGTTTGCATCCCCTGTATGAAACATTCATCTATTTTGCTATTAGGCAAACAACTTGGACAGCTTGAATGGCCTACAAAAAAAGCCTTTAAGAGATTAGCTAACTGACGTAACTGTTTATTGTATTACTTATTAAAATGGACAGACAACCAAAATCTGTCTTTAATACATCATGCTGTGCATTAGCCATTGCTGAAAGGCACTGTTTTACAGATGTTACTCCAGGGCCATTCCTCCAGCCTCTCTATTGTGGCTCCTTCTTGACATGAGCTCAGTCTATGTCTATTCCCAGTAGGTGCTATAAAAAACATCATGATATTATCATAAAAATCAAACAATAGCTTAACAAAGAAACTGTTCTGGATGTGATAGAAAGAAACTAACCCTCAGGTTTTGTTTTGAAATTCCATTGAATGACCTGTTAGAATTAGCTAAATTATTGGTTGGAAAGTAGCTGCTTTCAATGGGCAATGATTGTTGTATTTCATTTTGTGGTGCTTAAAGAACTACACCGGATCTTTTTCAGGAGGATAAGGCAAAATGCCACATTTATTGACAATGTAACATTATTCTATTATATGCATATCCAAAGATTCATGCAAGACACCCCATCTTTTATACAGGACTTTTCTCCCATTCAGGTTTATACATTTTGCTTTGTCAGCATATATATATATACACACACATTATATATGTATCATATGCATATGATATACCACACTCATTCACATGCAAACACACTCGGTTTTGTTGTTGTTATCAACTTGTTGCTCCCCTTAACTTCACTGGCCAGGTGAGTTAGATGCGGGGAACAGGAGCTGGGCTTCTGCTAATCCGGATCATGCTTCAGTGTTGACAAGACGAGTCCTGGGGTCCCCTGCAAGACATCTTACATTTATAGTAGCTTCCCTCTTATGCAGATCTATTAGTCATCTTTAGCTGCGATGTTAGTCATTTATGGTGCCTTCTTCTGGGTGTTGTCTTCAATGCTACAACATTCATCTTCAAAGAGGGTTTTTTAATTTTCTTCCAAAGAAGGTGCTTGCTTCTGACTCCCAAGGTACTTGCTTCTGACTTAGTAAGTCTGATCTTTCTCACTTGACAGGCCTTATTGTCCACTTGACAGGTCTTAGTATCCTTGGATCTGATCCTATTCCCCTCTCCAACAGTTGCAGTTGTTTGGAGGTGCTTGCCTTCCATGCCTCATTCATTCAATGGGGCAATCAAGTAAAAGGGGAAAGTTCTATTCTACTTGTAATACAAAGGCATTTTTTTACCTTAATTATTCCTAAGGACTATAACATTATAAAAAGTTTCTACATTATAAAAAGACTTAATATAACATTTCTACAATATGAAAAGACTTAATACAAATTATGAAAGGACTTAATACAAAGTTTCTACAATATGAAGCATTATAAGGAGACTACATTATCAGGCTAATACAAAGTTTCTATAAGCCATTATGAAAAGACATAATACAAAGTTAAAAGACTTACAAAGTTCCTATATTATAAAATGATTTTGATAAATCTTTGTATTAGATTTATAGATGTATCTACAATTTCTCTGATAGTTTGCTAATTTAAGGCCTGAGCCAGCAAACCCTTACTACTGAGAGTCTCATAGCAGTAAGAGCTCTTGTTCCCTGATTGTGAGTGTGAGGCGAGGGACAAGGTTTTTCACGGTCTCCATATTAATACAGGACAACAAATCATCCCATAGATAGTGAAAGTTAAGTAAAAAAGTAAAATTTCACTGTTTGTGTTCAATTCCACTTGCAATTTGCTTTTTATGGACCTGATCCGCTGCATCCAGGGAACACGTTTTCTCTTCTACTTTTCAGAAGAGAAAACGTGCTCTTTCAGGGAACCCTGCATACCTCGTTCTAGTCTAGACGGGGCCAAATGGTAGAAAAGCCTCTTCCGGAAAAGCAAATGGAAAAAGCTACGCAAATTGTGGAGCGTAATCTGTGTAGCTTTTTCCGAAAAAAGGCCATAGTGTAGAGCTCGCCTTAAAAGCATGAGCCTCTATAACCTGAACCAGGCGGAGTAGCTTGGGGGAATTGTGATCTCTTCGTCACTTGCAGTGGGGCCAGCATCCAGATGCAGGGTCAAGGTGTGTGGTGGCCCCAGGTGTTCACCCCCAGACAGGCTGGGCCCTCTGGCAGAAGGGGCAGGGCCGAGGACAGTCAGCCATTAGCACTGTCTAGATTGTGACACACTCCGCCCCCAAGCTCTCAGAACCATGCAGAGCAGTGCTCTGGTGGCAATTCAAAGGGGCCTGAGGTTCCAGCCACTGCCATAGGAACACCCGTGGTGGCTGGGAGCTCCGGGCCCCTTTGAATCGCCAGGCCCCTGGGCAACTGCTGCCTTTGTCTCCCCTGTCAGCTGGCCTGCTCAATTGCCTACCTTTGCTATGGCATGTGGGATGCATATAACTACACATCTCAGTGAAAGGAAGACTACATCCACATTCACTGCACTGTGTAGCTACACAGGACAACAAAAGACTCTCCCTCCCTCCTGTTAATGTGAAAGGACTCAGGGAGCTGCCATAGACTCCTTACACTGCCAGAGACTGTCCAGCTATGGCAGGGGAAA